GAGGTGTTATTTTATGCTCTGGAACACCTGTTCGCACTCCGGAGTCCATTCAAACTTCTTGTTGGCCTTGAGTATATTAAAGAATGGCAAGCAGCGACTGTTGCCTTTGATATGAATCGACTAAGAGCCGCTATTCGCCCATTGAGACTCTGAACCTGTTTTTGGTTGGTCGGGCTTTTCATATCAAGGAGAGCTTGGATCTTCTTAGGGTTGATTTCTATTCCCTTTGGTTAACCATATACCCCAAGAATTTTCTCGAGGACACTCCGAACGAACACTTGAGAGGATTGAGCTTCATTCTATACCTCTGTAGTATATCGAACATCTTAGCGAGATACGCTATGTGATTTGAAGCGACGTGCGATTTGACTAGCATGTCATCAACATAAACGTCCATCAATTTTCCGATCTGCTCAGAAAACATTCGGTTAACCAGTCACCAGTAAGTCACCCCAACGTTCTTTAGGCCGAAGGGCATAACTTTGTAACAATACAGCCCCCAATTCGTCACAAAGAAGGTATGCTCTTCGTCCGATGCGTACATCGAAATCTGATTGTATCCCGAGTAGGCATCCATAAAACTGAGCAACTCTTGCCTAGAGGTGGCATCAACAAGCTGATCGATTCTTGGCAAGGGAAAGTTGTCCTTTGGACAGGCTTTGTTGAGGTCGATGAAGTCGACACAGGTCCGCCATTTGCCATTAGGCTTTTTTACCAAAACCGGGTTGGCAACCCAACTTGGGTAGAGTGTCTCTCAGATGGATCCATTTAAGAGGAGATTATCTACCTCAACTTTCAAGGCAGCATATCGCTCTGGATCCATTGCTCTTCTCTTCTGGCAAACCGGCCTAACCTCACTATCAATATTCAGGGCATGGCATATGATATTCAGGCTAATCCCGACCATGTCGGCATGAGTCCATGTGAATATGTCGATATTTTCCCTGGGGAAGCTATTTAGGTCATTGGCAAGCTAAGGGTTGAGATTCTCAACACTCAGCTTGGCTCGCTCTGATCGATCGAGACTTCAGATAGGTCCTCAACCGGCCCACTGCAAGGGCATTCCTAGATACGAGGGTCCATGTTATCCTCAACTGGGTCAGGCTATGGCCTGACTCTGCTGATCACCATTGCCTGTTCAGGAATGCCGAGTGGAGTGCCTTTTCCCTTGCACGCTATCTGCACTGCCCTTATATAGCAGTCGTGAGATGCGCGTTAAGATCCGCTTACTTCCCCTATCCCCGTCGGGGTGGGGAACTTCATCTTTAGATGGTAGATCGAGGTGACTGCTTTGAAGCTTCGTAAAAGAGGTCGTCCCAAGATGCCATTAAAAGCGGATGGACAGTCCACTGCTAGGAACTCAGTCATTTTGGTCATTTCGTCAGTATCACCCAACGTGACCGGGAGCGAGATGTCTCCTTGGATATCAGATGGTCCCCTATGAAACCGTACAAAGGGATGGAGGCAGGTTTTAGATCGGCCTCATCCAGTTTCATTTCGAAAGCTCGCTGGAACAAGATGTTCATGGCGCTTCCATTGTCCACCAACATTCTGTGGACCTCACACCGCCTTATCTCGGGTGTGATGATGAGAGCATCATCGTGGGGATGATGCAATCGTACCGTATCTTTCTTAGAGAAGGTGATTTCTTCCTCTCTACGAACCTTCGTTGGTCGCGGCGTTGTGCTCATCACACTTATGGGGTCATGACGGGCTGCACGGGCATACCTTTCATGGGAACCTCATGAATTCCCTGCGAGATGTGGTCCCCCAAAGATGATCCCTACACTGTAGAGACCTTTGAGACCACGACACTTATTTCCCGGTTCCTCTTGATTTTTCTCTCGAACGAGAGCAGAGTCATCGACGCACTCTTTGAAGTGCCCCTGCTTAATGAGGTCCTCAATTGCTTGCTTGAGGGCTTGACACTCATCGGTGTGATACCCATTATCTTGATGATAGCGACAGTATTTTTTATTGTTTCTAACCGAAGAGGGATTTTTCATGGGCTCGGGCTCTCCAAGCAAACCGGCCTCCTCTGACTTATCCAGAATAGCCGATACTGAGGCATTTAGAGGGGTGTATTAACTCTTGTCGCGATCGCGATGAGGAACTGGGGCGTAGGATTTCTTGGGCTTGTATCGCTGCTTCTTTCCTTTTCGCTGATTGTCATTAGCCCATCTACAATCAGCCCTCCTATTCTCCCCCCAATCAAGAGCACTGCCTGAAGGACTGGGGTCATGGCAGTTGAGCGCAGCCACAGAGTTTTCAATGCGGAGGTACTTTTTCGTAAGGTTGTAAAAGTGGGTGAGGAAAACATCGTCCTTAGATTTTAGCTCCTTCCACAAATTTGTCTGTAGGAGAACTCCTGCGATAATGAGAGTTCGAACGGACGCTTCAGGAGTGTGAGCTACGTTGTGGAACCTGTCAATGTAAGATTGGAGGGCTCGCCCCTCTCTTGCCTTATGTTGCTTAGGTAGCTTAGCGGCATCAAGAACTTCCTGTTCGCCTGGAAGTGTCTCAAAAATGTCGAGCTCATTTGAGGTCACGAGCTTACTGATCCCGCTAAGAGCGACCTAAACCATCGCTTGACATGTGAGGTAAGGGTTACCGCTAGGCAACAGCATTTTGCCAAGTCAAAGACTTAATGGAGTTCCATGAGGTCGTTGAATTCATACAGATGATCTTGCGGATCGGAATTTCCATCAAATGCTCCCATGTCGGGCATTCTGAATCTTGACGGGAGGGGAGCAGCTAATACTGCTGGAGAAAAGCGAGACGCCTCTGCAACCTGCCCTTGCTCATTTCACTTAGCCTTAAATTGATCCAAAGCTCGCTGTAGCTCCTCAATCTGAGGCAACGGCGCTATCTGGGGATCACTTTCCGTAACGTGGGTTCGACCCTCACGGTTGCGATTGAGGAAAGACCGTAGGTCGGATTCCTCCTCACCACGGCTGGCAATTCTGGCCAAGCTCGACACACGCTGGCTAGAGTTGTGTGATGGCATTGAGTGATTCGAGGAACCTTCCCAACCTCTGCAGTGGTGGGAAAAAACCCGCGAATGGTGGGAATCCCTTGCACGATGATGATCAAAGCCGTCATTTTGGCGATATTGGGAATCTCCCCGTCTTGCACTTTTGTAGGAGTGCTCGCACGACGTGGGGCGGGATGGCTCAGGCCGCGACATGTCACCGAGTCGTAATGCCACGGGTATTCTACCCGGGGCACGATCGGTGTTCGTTGGTCCCTCGGAGCCTTTAGGTCCGCTGTGTGCCACTTTTTTTCCCTTTTTTTGATGCGCCACAGTGCACATGGTATAGGCTTTTGCCCTTTTTCGCGCATTCATGCGACCTACAAGCCTCATTTGATTCGGGTGGCATGACCCGATCCAATCAGTCTAGCCTTTGGCTGACCATTTGGAGAGTATTATTGAACCTCTCCAGGTAACTCATGACGGTTGGATCAAGCCGTGAGCTTAAAGGGATATCCCCCACGATATTTTGCTGAGCTGGGGGTACTTCAGGAGAAGTGTCCTCTTGTACCTGGGGGATCTCTTCATTGCCATAATTAGTTCACTCAGATTCAAAACCGGCTGTAGTGGGACCGATTAGTCAGAGATTCTCCTGATGAAGAACGGGTACTAAATCAGGCCCTCCTTCTAGTGTCAAACTGTAGATGCTTGATTTTGACTCCAACTATTCGCACATGAGAAATGTTAAGCGGGCTTAGAAGTCACACGTGGTTATAGAAGTATTTAGTTGAATAAAGGGTGAAGAACAATGTTTAAAGTTGTTCGGATGCTCACAAGGCGAATCCTACGTCCACTGATATTGTATTAATGAGTAGAGTCAAGTCGCGTTCAGCGAGCTGAGTTACAACGTTGAGAATACAAGAGAGAGAGAGAGAGAGAGAGAGAATGTTATCTCATAGTGAAATTAGCCAATCCCCCAAATGGGAGAAAAAACCTCTATTTATAGTGAGATGAATCAAGGTAATGATTACTAAATCTGTGAGTGGGATGGATGTCGTGCAAATCCTTCTCTGCGTCCCATTGCTCACCTGCCCGAGTGATTTCCTCAACTTGTGCAAAGATTGGACACGTGAAGCACCTCTGACCATTTGCCAACCTGGCGCACACCCACTACATTAGCAAGAGTATGCTACTCACGTCATTATGCGACGTGGCCACATCTGAGCAGTTGTAGAACCTTCTTAAGTTCTGATTACCCATGCTAACAAGATTCTGCGTCAGCTCTATTTTTCCAGACATAACAGAACTAAAGAATCTCCCCGAGTTGACACGAATTTGCAAGCAAGAAGATTTCAGTGAGAGACTTGAGCAACTTGAAGTAATCAACTGCAGTGCACTCCGGATGCTGCCTCTTACTGACCAAAATGCAAATACCATAAAAGAGATAAGAGGAGAAGAAAACTGGTGGGACAGCTTGGAATGGGACAATGATAATACAAAGGTGAGTTGACAGCGTTATTTCAAACCTGTTAGGCTGAGACTTGGACATGATCCAGGACAGACCCCAATGTACCTGGATAATGGCAGCCACTCTCCACTGTTTTGTGAGCTCCCCGACACAATTAGCATGCAAAACGCAGGGAAAGTTCCTTAATGTAAATGAATAAAATGGCATCAATACCAAGGGTTCAAGACTCTTGAATCATGTGTATTGGTGCTAACATCATAGATTAAACGTTTTCTTTACCAATTTTAGTGTTTGTGCTTGTATTTCCTTAGGAAGTTCTTAATTAATCCAGCAATTTGTACTTTGTAGAGATTTGTGTTAATCTAATTGAAGTTAGAAGCTTATTTAAGTTAAGAATTTTGGCCTGGTTCATTGGTTATCAGAAGGAAAAAGAAGAAAAGAAACCTTCTTCAATTTTAATGAAAAGGACTTGCACGACTTTGATCCCACGAAAGAGATGGCTTCAATTCAAAGAAATAATGTTTGACCATCAAAATAAGATTGATTCTTACTCAACAAAGCTTGCACAAGAATGGGAATGAATAATTATATAATAACAGATGGAGAGCAAGAGTTTACAAGGTGCTGCTATTATTTACATATTACAACTGATTATTTGGTAATGTATTTTCTTTGTTCTGTTATTTACAGAGTCAACAGAAAGATGAAGATGATGCCCAACATAGTATCCACAATTCCGGATCATTATAGTCAAGCTCCCCTATGCCTCAATATTTGTCTACATTCCAGCCATAATATTAACACCTGTTAATCAGCCCCCCCTGGAGAATAAAAGAATTTACTGCACACCTGACAACAAGAAAACCTCACATCAAATTTCAGCACATAGAAATTATAGATAAACAATATCAACTTAAACTCTACCCAGAAGATTAAATGACAATAGAAAGCAATTGATTTGCAAAAAGTATTAGCATCTTTCAGTGGGTACTTGACTCTGAATACAAATTGTTTTGCTGGTTATATTATATCCTGTGTGTCAAAGTTTAGGCTCAACACACGGGTGCCAAAACTTTATAATTTCCCTTCAAAGCACCATATGACAGTATATGCATACATTTGCTATTTTCATGAGACAGTTCCTGCCAGTTCCCTGAGCTAGTCAATAACACAAATTCATAAAGCTCAGAGTTAGTATCTAAATACACGTTAAACTACTGGGACAAAAGAATTTACCTCTAGTCAAACTCATCACCTTCTTCTTCAAAATGATTCTCCATTTTCAGGCCTTCAATGTTATTATTTACAAACTTGAGTTGAGACTCCATTCTTAAGCTCTCAGTATTATTTACAATCCCAAGCTGCATATTGGTTTTAAGGCTGTCACTGTTATTTACATAGCCCTGTTTTTCTACTGGCATTCGAGGACCATCCCAACCATTTTCTCCAGCGTCACTGTTATAATCAGGCACTGAAGCCCCACTATCAGTTACAGGTTCAAGAGAACCAGAGCTACTTTTGCATGAAAGCCTGCCATATTCAGAAAGCCCAGACCTCTGATGCAGCAGCCTCCCATTGGTATTGTTATCCACACCAGGAACCCTGCATCACAACACAATGAAAAAGAATATACTTCATGAAAATCACCATGAGCTTTCATAGTTGCGCAAAAAAGAAAGCCATCAACTAGTAAATAAGCAAGGACCTCCATAACAAGGATATGACATTTTGTAGACGTATAGATAAGTTACACAGCTGTGATCAGAAAATACAGATATGTTCTTAGTTTAAAAAATTCCCATAAATTATTTTTAATTATGTAATTAGCTAACTACGTGTCATCTGAATTAAAAATAATATGCATCACAAAAGCATATTAATATTAAGGTCAGAAAACCAAAGTAGAAACCTAATAGACGAAAGGTAAATTCAAATAAAAGCAATCCTGCATCCTACAAATGGTAAAGAAGATAGACAAATAGAACTCCAAAGCACCTTGCTTGTTGAGGTTTGGGACTCTGAACATGGTCGAAAACCGGGATCAAGTTTTTTGACCTAGCTTCAATCATATGAGTAGAAATCCTTTCAATTTCAACTTCCCCTTTCAATTCATCCTCCACTTTAATGTCCTCCATGATCATCGACTGAAAGTATACCTGATAATCACAAAACAATAAAAGGCACATTACACATCAAGCAAAACATTTACATGATTCCATTAATAAACACCTCCAAAACCTTGTACAACAAGGAAATACCTCTGGTTTTGCCCACAATGGAATACGAGGTGGATGCATCTGCAGTTCAGCTTCAGAAATATACATGTGGTGTTTATCCTCAAGACTGACCTTCGTTTTCTCAACTGTACCCCTAGCTTCAGTAAGAAGACAATTTCCATCGTTCATTTCTTCAGGGTATATCTTATTGCTGTCTGACGCTCCATTCTCACCATATATGTCCAGATTATCTTCTCGCTCCCTTCGAATCTGCTTCTGACATATATTCCACTTCTGGATGGCCTCAACTACTAATCCAGCATCACCATCTGCAACTGGATCATAAGCAGTGCCCAATCCAGACATACCTGTCATCACATCTGAACCAGCTGATACCCGCAATGCATACTGTATCATACACCCAGAGGGAGAGAAAACCAGCAGATGGTACTTCATCTTCGAAGAGCTGCCACCAGCATATACGCCACCCTTTCCTTTGCAGTTATGAAAAGATGATGCAATGGCCCCAGAAAGGGAACTCATCCTTCCTGTTGCAGCTGCTGCAGCACCACTTACATGACCTCTCCAACCATTATTTCCATTTCTTATTCTACTAACAACAGAAAGTGTAACTGGGGGACCAGATGCACAAAGACTTTGTTGATTAGGCAATTGTACACCAGCATTAGGAGGCCAACGAACACCAGGCTTAGTCATGAAACCAGATCCATTATGTTTTGCATTAAAACTAGTATCAGCAGACTGAAAATAAACAGATCCCCCTGAAGGGTTTATAGCAAACAAATGACTTGTACCCCTAGAGGAACTAATCATAATCCAGTTGCTGTCATTACTGAAACTAATGTCCTGTATAACCTGAAATAAAACAAAGAAAGGGAAAAAGAAAACAGATAAGCAATGATTAACATGTAACATATGTGCGCGTCTGTGTGTGCGTATAGAAAGAAATGATAAAAAAATTAAAGTGCTCTTACAGCATTTGTGATACCACGTTGCAGCCTGTAAAGATGTACATAGGATGTACCAGCATCACATGCAGAGGAGCTTCCTTGGAGTCCAGGCATTATTTTGAAGACATTTATGTTATGACCCTGAACTGAAGCAGTCACTAAAAGAACCCCACTAGGATCAAAGCATAATGCTGAAATAGGACTCTTGTGTGCCCTAAACTGTGCAATAACACCTTTACTGACAATATCTCTGACAATGACCTGATTAACCCACGGATAAAAAAGAAATTAGGTAATGCATGAAGAAATCTTATGTTCAGGCCTAGATAACCAGATGAAGAGTAAAGCAGAACAGAATAATAATAATAAAAAATCTTAATTCATAAGATAGCATTATTAATAACCTCAGAATAAAGGATATGATTCCTATAATAAGCTAAACACAATATGTACAAAAGTTTCTATCTTGTAAAACCGCATATGCAATCAGAAAAGCAAGTATAAGAACTAACTAGATATGTGCATTAGCCAAAATAAGGAAAGGAAGAAAAAGAAAAAAGAAATAGTATACAGTAGAGGTATAAACAAACTAAGGGGAACAAGTACCATTCCAACATTATCTGCATCTGGCAGAAGACCATTAACAGATCCATTGCCCTTCCCGCCAGGACTCGCTGATTGTAGAGAATTCTGGGAATCAGGTAGAAGCTCAGAATAGTATCTTGACAGCTTCTTATATCCTATATCTCCTAGGGTCACTATCCCAGCAGCAAGTTGCTTGCTTGATACTTTTGCATAGTGAGCAACCCGGCTTCCATTTGATGCAAAGCCAGAAAAACTCAGAGGACTTAGATGTTGTGGACTGACACGCCCAGAATTGGAGACTACAACTGGACTTCCACTATAAGCCAGCCACCTGGGACCAACTGCAAGAGGTCCAATGCCTATACCTCCAGTAGTAGGATATCCAGTACCTATGGGATTTGTCAGAATGGCGTATTCTATCTCTAATGTTGCAGCATCAAAGCAGTGTATCTGCAATACATAAAAACTTAATTCTCAAACTTTGATTAGGCAGAAGGCACTGGTGCTTCAGAGCTTAAGTTTACATAAGCATACCTGGGCTGCTTGACATATAGCAACAACTCTAGAGCTGCTCCTTACAGCATAAATGGCTGATCTGAACTTTAGCACATGTACATAAGATTGGGATTTCAAGGAATAAAAACGAACAACAGTAGGCTCAAAACTGCCATTCCCTGAGTCATGATAGTTTGTGATTGTCCCATTAGTTGATAACCCATCCTGAATGTTAGTACCACCAGAAAGGGACCCATCAGAACAAGTTACCAGAAGTGGCCGGGCATCTGCATACTTGTCTCTTGATCTTTCTGATGTTACTGTTCTTGGTAGCATTTGCATAAAAGAAACAGGACCATCATATCTGGAAACTAGGTCACACACATTATCTGCTTCTTCAACATCCCAGACCTGGAAACCAGAACGATAACCCAGAAGGAGAACTTGCCGTGTGACATCTCCCTCACCCTCTAACTTGTCAAACCCGGCCCAAAGCACCTTTATATAATAAAAATAGAATTTGATATGAGCCCTCTCCATTGTTGGATCTTAATTTCAAGAACTCCAAAGTAACAATAACCCTTTTACAAAAAATTACTATCAACAGGAAAAATAACTAAAATATCCAATAAAGGCATCACAACAAGAAAAAATTAATAAAGCTCAGAATATAAAACAAAAAATAACAAAATGCTAAAAGGTCTATGTGGCCAAGCCATTCATATTGAACCTTGATGATTTGCACAACACCAATCATATACTTATCAAAAGCAAACTTGCAACGTTTTTTCTTTTCTTTTTTTAATAGCTAAAAATTACTTAGCCTCCCTATGTGTTTACAACTCTACCCAACCCTTAGGATTTACACTTTGCATAGTTGAAAACCAAATTAAATGAACTACACAAGTTCCTCCAAGATTCAACTCACATATATGAAAACACTAACACGGACATTCAAGAATTTTCAATTCCCTCACCTTATACACCATAAGTTTCAGCATATACTTCTTATAATCTTTAAGTCCAGTTCATGCCATATGGGAAAATTTAACGGGGACAAGAACTTTTCTCCAACTTGTATTAAATACACACCGACTGTCACAATTTTATTGCCATGTACCACAAATGCACACTATATTACACACTCACACAATTTATAGGGAAAAATCATAGGCCAAATTGCACCAAAATCACCAGCACCAGTCAAATTTTCCAACCATCCATACTAACTCCTTATAACAAAGACCAATTACTATATATCACAGACGAACTAAACTACTAACTCATGGTGCAATGAATTCAACTTAAATGACAGGAAATTTAGCAAAGTAAACCTTTCCCTCACTCTTCAAACCCAACCTGAAGTTGCAATGCCCACTTTGTAAACCAAAAGCAAAACCCCACTTCATTCTCTAAACCAAAATCTACACATTCAACAACACTTTCAAAATGAATCACTATTTTAAAAATATCTCTCAATTTCACCCAAAAACCATTAATCTCACAGCTTGAAACCTTAAAAAACTTATGCCACACAACCCAAATGAACTAAATTCCACATTTACACACTAATAATTTCCCAAACTTAACAGGAGCAGTTTAATTCCTAAGTTTATATCGTACATCTAGTAATTTACCAATTCACCAAACCCAATCTTAGGCTTCTTAAATAGGACTTTCAACACATAATATCGCAAAACATATCATTATAGTTATGGGCTTGCTTAAACACAGTTATTAACTTTAGTTTAAAAACCCTAAAAATAAATAAATAAATGCAAAGAAGAAGAAATTTGTGAATTTACATAAGTGTACCTGGTCATGGCTTGAATCATCAACTTTCTCCACAATCGACGACGCCACTGATGCTGCCGACCGCGCCACCGTGGACGCACCAGACGAGACGATCCTCAAATAACTTGAGATTGCACGGAACGGGCTCTTCGCTGACCGCGAAACGACACGGTTTTGTGACTTTAGCCCATCACTGTTACTACTATTCCTCATCCCAAAAACAAGCCCAACAATCAAATGAACAAATACCCAGAACACAAAATTTATTTCTCTGTCACCAATTTGTTGTTTGAGCATAACCCCAGGCTGTTTCTATTTTTTTAAGGAAAAAAAAAACACACTTTTTCGAGGTGCGAAAAAAAAACCCTAATTTGTGCAAAGAAACAGCCCTAATTTGCAATTTTTAGATTGCAAGTGCACTCATGCTTGGGTTTTGGGAAGAACCCAGATAAAAAAGAGCTTTGAATCTAAACAAAACCACTTCAATTTCTTGAGTTGGGGAAACAAAACCCTGCTTTGAGAAAACAAAACAAAAACAATTTTTCGAGGTTGAAAATTTTTTGGTTTTAATCTTTAATACCCAGAAGCAAAAACCGAAACGATATCAAAGATATAAACACTTTATTACAGTTATTGGGAATTGATCAGTATTGTAATTCACGATAAAAATCAAACAAATAAAAAAATTTACAGAACCAAAGAATTTTTTTCAATTGGGAAATTAATTTGGTGAAAGAAAAATAAAATTTATAGTACAGAATCGCATTTAAGTGTTTTTGAAATAATAAATTTGTGGGAGAAATCAATGAAGAAGATGAAGAAGAAGAAGAAGAAGAAGAAGACAGAAGGTATTTTGGAGAGAGAGAAAAGGTTGGATAAAGAAGAAGAGTTAAATTTTGTTTTTGTTTAATTTACTTTTTTTTATTTTTGTTTTTGTTTTTCTAATTTTGAGCTTGTAGAAATCAGAAATACGAACAGTTTATCTCTGAGTCTACGTCTCCATCTGTTGAATTGAATAAAAAATAAAGCATATCTCCGATGAAATTAATTTATATTATTAAATTATTTTTTTTAAACTTTAAAAAAATGAAATGGATTCAAACGTGTGTTGTATTTTGGTTGTTGTTTAACCAGATCATGCCACGTGGCTTCTCAGAGTGTTTTTTTTATTTTACTACAACACAAATTTTATTCTTTCTTTCGTGTTGGATAGAATATGTATTGTAAGAAGTCAAATTTTAACTATAAATCCAACAACTCTGTTCAATTTTTGTTGAACAGAAATAGAATTGAATATCATCCTTATCCATTATATTTCTTTATTACCCATATAAACATTTACAATACTATATTAAATTAAATAAATATAATCCCGTTACAGGCTCTACCAAAATACTGATAATAAAAGTAAATTATTATTTTATATTTCTAAAATTAAAAAAAAAATAGAAAAATGTAGTATAATCTATAAAAATTAAATCATATAAATTTGTCCAATTTCAGTTTAACTGAACTTATCTACTTGAACTGCAATTGTAGATAATCGTCGTCTCATTAAAAAACAAATAAATTCAATCCGAATTTCAATATTAAATTTCTGTATTTCTATATATTAACATATACAATATATATGTTCAGTTTGACTGTTTGAACTTATCAAGAATAATTCTGATTGTTTCATGTAATTTTGGTAAATAAATGTATACAATATAGTATATACATCATTGGTATATTCGACTCTATTTATAATACTACATAAAAAATTTATTGTAATGTGATTGTCGTTTTATATCATTCACTTAAGCATTATATAATTATATATGTCAACATTACATTTAAATATGCTATCATATTATATATTTATATTTACATTGATATTCAAGATAGCATTCTTGATATTAATATTGAAAGTATAAATTATGAAATGCTAAAAATCCAATTATTTAATTACAACTTATACTGATATTAAGGTTAATTATTTATTTTTTTAATTCGAAAAATAATAATTAAAACTGGATATATATTATTATTTCCTTTGTCAAATAAAGAAACCAGTGCCATTTTTCTAGCTTGGCTATGAGCTTCTAACTTTGACTTCGTGTTCATCAAGTTTTCTTGATTATCAAGCATAGAAGATCCAATAATCTTTAGGATTATAGTAATAATTTTTTTGTATAAATTTTTCTATTGATCTCTAATATTCACATAAATTATATTATCTCAAATTTTTCATCCATGACTTTCGCATACAATAACATGATAATTTTTGGATAATAGGGGTGACTGATTGATAGAGATTCTTGGATGTATTACTCAAGAGATTTTGAATTCGAATCCCTCTTCGGTTATTAATAGGAGTGACCATTGGAACTCTTAACTAATCGATAGTTTTAAGGTCTCGAATGATTAATTGTAATACATGTAAGCTGGTTTAAACAACCCTGATCATTTTTAATCCTGTCTAAATGTATAGTGATATAATGATAATATTACTCTTTCATAATGATTTTATAATAAAGGATATAATCCTTGTGTAAATAATATATGTGTAATATTAAATTAAAAAACAGCACCAATGTGAATTTAATGAAATTTTTATTTTATTTGATATGAGTAAGTAGCATGTGAATGTTTGTATTATTATTAGATGCACGTGATCGATTCATCTCATAACTCGTAAAAGAATGCTTGTCCTATCCATATATCATTTATATGGTATTTTATAATAATCTTCATATGAATTTGGGGAGTTACAAAAAAGTGTTTCAAATGAGTGGTGGGAACTGGGAAGAAGTGTCACATTTTAATATTATGATTGTCTAATATTTTATACCAAGTTTAAAATGATTGAGTTGCATGAACCTATAATTATTCACCAAAGTGCAAGGCCTAATCAACTCAAAATGTTCATTTATTTTCACTAATATATATGCGTATGAATGTATTGTATTTCACTAATATAATGGATACATGCATATAATTTTATTTATTTTTCGTGACCAGAGTATTTGGACCCATTTGTACAGATTTTGACTAATTTTCTGAGGTCTTGAAGTTAACGATTAGATAAACCCTCTAATAATCATTCATATTAATAATTGAAATAAATCGAATTTAAAACCTCTAAAGTAAATACCCGAAAGTCTTTAGTACCCATGACCACCCAAGGTGGTTAGATACATGCATATTTTGAGAATAAGAAAGAAAGTTACATTATACTTTAACATTTTGAATTAAATTAAAGCAAGCAGTGTTTAATAATTACTGGATCAATATTATTTCATGAAATTAAGAGATTTTTTTTCTTATATAAAATTAAGTTATATCATTTGATAAATTATATTATAAAAATAATACAATAAATAAATATATTTTGTTGTTAGCAGCCTCGTGTAACAAAATATGAGATAGTATTTTATTAGAAGACCATAAGAGATAGTAAAAGGGAAGATGCTTGAAAGATACATACGAGTTGGCACCGTTACGGCTTCGCTGGCAATTTTGATTTCTGACATATCTGATGTCTCTGTCAATTTGCCTTAAATACAGTACATGTTTCCGTAACGTCGTTAGATTTAACTGCGGTTAAAATCACCTGGTTTCCCCATTAATAGAATCTTTTTGCAACCGTGACGTGGACATGACTATATTCTGGTAACTATTTAACATGGTATGATAGATCTCAGACGGTCATACCAATAATTATTTGTTTTTTTGTTAATATATTATGCAATAAATTATTTATACTATATAGTATTTTCTGAATAAAAATAAGAAAATTGCAATATCGTATAGGCTGTCAATGTTCAGTTTATCTTATGAGGCACATGGCATGAATATCACACTTACCTAACAACTAAGGATTTTACATTTTTCAAACCAAACTACTAACTATTTTTTCTAGAAAAGATTATGTTTTCGTAAGTTTTATTTTAAGAAATTCTACTCAAATAAGCCATGCTAAATAGGTGTTTTAAAACCCAATCCAACACAACTGGTTGAACCGAGACTCGAGTTACCAATTTTGATTGCTTATAGCAAACCCTAAAAATTAGGATGATGATCGACGAGCAATTGGTGGTTAGGTGTTGGGGTTTTAAAGAGTAAGGGTTCGTGAGTCGAAAGGTGGTGACATAGATGATTTTTAGTAAGTAAAACGATCGAAAATCGCACAACGGTAACAACAGGCTATTACCGACGATTAGCGAGACGAACGAGGGCGGGATAATATGGGTTTTGGCCAGGAAGATGTGGGGAGAGTTTTCATGGTGATGGGGTGTGTTGTCAATGTCAGTGGTGTAATTTGGGGTATTTTTGTAGGATTTGAAACTTATAAGGACTTATGGTAATTATTAAGGGTGTTTTTGCTGATTTCAAACTTTTTAACATGCTGATGTCACTGGTTTAACCCGTCAATCAAATCGGTTTAATCGATCAACTGGGGAACCGACCACTTTGTCAAGTTTCACCTCAAGTTGGGTTTTAAAACTTTGCTAATCGAAATCTTTATCACATGATATCAAGATTTCCAATTTTTAGGCTATATTAAGAAATTAAAGGGAAAAATTTTCAAGTCAAATTTTTTATCAAGAAAATCAAAAGGCAATTGTACAAGATAGAAATGATACAAGAAAGACGTGTAAAGGGTTATAAAATATACATAATGAAGAGAGAATTTAAGAAGTTGGTTCTCTTGATGAATAATTATCATAATGAAAGTGAAGAAAAATATGATCAATAAATTTCAATTTCAAACAAACCACTAATCAAATGTAAAACAAAATTAATTAGCATAAAGTTTCTCATTACCACTTAGGGGGAAAAAAAATAAAGAAAGTGGTCACTCTTCGTAATACTATGGGCCAAGTCTTTTCACCTATCAAATTTTCACAAGTTTATAACCAATTTAGCTGGCTATCATTAAGAGAAAAGAAAATGATTAATTAAAAGATGAAAAATAAAATTAAAAATTAAAAAAAGTCCAAGACTAACATGTTGGGTGGGTCAATAGAAAATGATTGGTGGTGACACATTTACAAAATCTTTAGTTATAAGTTGTAATGATATTTAAATAAACCAAACTTTTTCATTTATTGTAATTTAATATTGAAATGAAATATGCTAAGAATTTTATCTTAATGTTTTTTCTAATACAAGTGATAAGGTAAATTATTAGATCAAATGGCCCACTATAAGATCTTAGTAAGATAGAGAAGTGAAAATGATTCTCTTTGTTTAAAATATTTTATTGAACTATTTTCTTGTCTATTATTATCTTAGAAACTTCCTAGAGATTTCTGTTATTTAATCAACCATCAAAGAAACTAATGTTATTAACTACAAAGAAAAAAGTTAATTAAATCCTTTTATTGTCAAGACTAAGTTGAAAGATTATATTCCGTAAAATTATTTTTCTAGTCAAATCTAAATTTTAAATTTTATCATATAAGTTATATAAGAAAAAAAGAAATTATAAGGTGTTTAAGGGTATCCAAGAATTAATCAAGTGCTCGTAAATTACCTTGATACTTTGATGAAAAAAGAAAAGAGAAAAAAAGGATATATTTGAAGCGAAGAAGAGAAAATATTATGATAAATATGTAAGAAAGACAAGCAGGTGGATCAGTGTCTGAGCGGAGCGCCGGAGATGTCGTTATCGGAAGCGAGGTGTTGGGTAGAGATTAGATTAGATTTGGCAGATTCAGCGGAACCACAAAAGTACGCCAACTGTGACTTGTCCGAGCTCCCTTTACTCTT